ATCAGTGATGGTCACCGGGAGACAATTAATTTACCTACCAGGCAAAAACATGACAACGGTTCTAATTCCAACCTTCTCCATCAGAAAAGAAACAAAGGATTCCCTAGTATTGTGGCTACTATACACTCACTTTAAAGCAGAACCCCAACTTGAATAATAAAAGTATTGTTGTATTTGTAGTACACTCAATACCGGTGCCCTGGTTTTTCATTGACTCGCAAATTCCCATCATCACCACAATCAAAATGTAAATAATGCATGGGGGGGGGGTGCGGTTCAATCAGTCCAGTACTTATGGTTGTGCATCACTAAGCATCGCACAGACACTTCCTGTCTTCTGCCGAGTAGTTTGTACTGCCCTCTGTTCCCCTGTCACCACCCCTAAAGGAACCTGGAAACTACACTTTAGTCCCAAAGGAATCATGGGAAGTGTTGTTTCCGGAAATGTTGTGCGCCCAACTGAAGATCCTCCTGGTGCTCTGGACTAGCAGGAAGCTAGGGAGTTATGATGACATTCTAAATACTTTTAAAGCTGAAAAAGGCAAATATAATAAAAGTATTAATGGGGTAGCGGCTGTGAGCGCAGACATGATCCTGGAATTGCACCATAACCGCTCCAAGCTCACTTTTAGTTTACTCATTTGTATTGAGATCGTAGTCTAACAGGGGAGTGAGCTTGGAGTGGTGACTACTTAACAACACACAAAGGGACCATGAGGAACAAAAGTAGCCACCTCCCCCCAAGAAAGGGCATTGTCAGCACAAAAGCAATCAGGTTTTACTGCTATCCGGAACTCATTTAGAGAGATTTACCTTCACTTTCTGTTCTGCTTATAATGGTTTCAACAGAAAGGAAGTGAGGGAAAATCTCCAACGTCAACAGAATTTTCTTCTTTTACCAGTCAGATTTTTCTTGCTGCATGTCCCACTGTTGCACATTCTCCCTCATTTCCTGCCCAGAAGAAATGGAAGGAAGGAGAAATCTCTTTAGTCGAGTCCCAGATAGGGATTCTAACACTTCTCCACATTTTCCAAAACTTAAAAAAAAAGTTTTAATTGGACATAAACTTTAAAACCTGCCAAACAAATCTGAACAATTAGAACTGGTCAGACAACGGAAAAAATAATAGGCACCTGAAGTGGCCCAATAAGGCGATGGTGGCCTTCTTGTTCAATAGGGGTGATTGGGTGGCCTGAGAAGATAGGACCAAGCTGGACTTTGACAGGAGAAGACAGCCACCCTGTGCCATCTTTGTAGCAAAAACGCCTTCTCTTCACGCTATTCACACTGATAACCTCTCCTTTCCATGCCATCTTTCTCTTGATACCCTCCTTCCACTCATATCGATAACCCCTCTGCTGCATGCCATCTTTTGTACCTAGAAGTCCTCCACCCCATGTCACGTTCCTATTGACAACCCTGCCACCCCATCCTCCCTGTTGACGAGCCCTCCACCCCATCCTTCCTGTTGACGAACCCTCCACTCCCTGTCACCCTCCCTGTTGACGACCCCTCCGCCCCGTCATCCTCCCTGTTGACGACCCTTCCACCCCGTCATCCTCCCTGTTGACGACCCCTCCACCCCGTCATCCCTCCTATTGACGACCCCTCCACCCCCTGCCATCTTCCATACTGACGACCCCTCCATCCTTCCTATTGACGACACCTCCACCCCGTCATCCTTCCTATTGACGACACCTCCACCCCGTCATCCTCCCTGTTGACGACCCTTCCACCCCGTCATCCTCCCTGTTGACGACCGCTCCACCCCGTCATCCTCCCTATTGACGACCGCTCCACCCCGTCATCCTCCCTATTGACGACCGCTCCACCCCCTGCCATCCTCCCTATTGACGACCGCTCCACCCCCTGCCATCCTCCCTATTGACGACCGCTCCACCCCCTGCCATCCTCCCTATTGACGACCGCTCCACCCCCTGCCATCCTCCCTATTGACGACCGCTCCACCCCGTGCCATCCTCCCTATTGACGACCGCTCCACCCCGTCATCCTTCCTATTGACGACCCCTCCACCCCGTCATCCTTCCTATTGACGACCCCTCCACCCCGTCATCCTTCCTATTGACGACCCCTCCACCCCGTCATCCTTCCTATTGACGACCCCTCCACCCCGTCATCCTTCCTATTGAAGACACCTCCACCTCGTCATCCTTACTATTGACGACCCCTCCACCCCGTCATCCTTCCTATTGACGACCCCTCCGCTCTGTGCCATCGTTCCTATGGAGAACGCCCTTCGCTCTGTGCCATCGTTCCTATGGAGAACGCCTTTCGCTCTGTGCCATCGTTCCTATGGAGAACGCCTTTCGCTCTGTGCCATCGTTCCTATGGAGAACGCCCTTCGCTCTGTGCCATCTTTCCTATGGAGAACCCCCTTCGCTCTGTGCCATCATTCCTATGGAGAAGCCCTTCGCTTTGTGCCATTGTTCCTATGGAGAATGCGCTCCGCGCCATCGTTCCAAAGGAGAACGCGCTCCGCGCAATCGTTCCTATGCAGAACGCCCTTTGCTCTGTGCTATCGTTCCTATGGAGAACACCCTTCCCTCTGTGCCATCATTCCTATGGAGAACGCGCTCCAATCAGTGCCATCGTTCCTATGGAGAACGCGCTCCAATCTGTGCCATCGTTCCTATGGAGAATGCGCTCCAATCTGTGCCATCGTTCCTATGGAGAATGCGCTCCGCTCTGTGCCATCACTCCTTTTTTATACCCCCATACACAGCCATTGTTCCTATTACTATCCCCTCATTATCTGATTCAGGCCTGTTGAGAAATCAGTACAATCTATATCTACTCATTTATAAGTCAACCATTTCAGCACATTAAATACACCAACTGTGGCGATCAGCCTCCAGGCATCAGATGAAAAAATCGTTTAGCATTGTCTGATGGAAGCATGCTCTGAAACAGCACAGAGGTGGGGGGAGATGTGACTGCACTCACAAACCCTACACAGAGCCGATGACCCCACGATCAGATCGCTACTACCAAGGCTGATCTGCCATGTGTCCCCCCCTAAACATGGAAAGCTGCATGGAAGTCAGACAGTGAAGCGCCCACACCTCTGTAACAGGGGTGAGAGGTATAGTAAGAGCGGCGCGACGGCCCGGACGGCGATTCCCGGTGACGTCAAAACGTGGGCATTCGAGTTGTGCACATACCGCTGTCACTCACCCGCTGGGGTCTCCTCACCGCATAATTCGTGGCCTCGGCCTCACACTAGCAATCGGCGTCCGGAAACCAACAACACAAGGGGTTCTCCTTCCGGGTTACGACTGTAGAAGTGACGTCATCTAGGTAGAAAGCTCCACCCCGCGTGTAACCTCATTTCGCTCGGCGAGAATCCCTTGTTACCCAAGGCTCTGTTTAGGCATGTACCATCTGCGGACCAAAGGGGGGGGGGGTTCATGAATTTCAGTGTATGTAAACCCCACATTTATCTTTCAGTGTATTTGGCATCATACCTCACTGAACAGTTTCATAAAGTATATCTAAATCCCAAACTTTTTTTTAAAGTAGGGGAGGGCAAAAACTGCTGTCACCTTTATTTTTATTTTACCATCTGTGTCTGAGTAGGGGGATTTCCGTTCACTTCCTGTCTTCTAGACACAACAGGAAGTGAGAGGATATTTTCTAATGATAGGCAATAGTTCAAACTTTCAGAGCCGCTGAGATTCCAATGCTTGTTCCAATAGTTCAAACGCAGAAAATCACTGGCTCTGCTAAGGCAGCTCTCAGATACACAGGCCTCCCTCAGTGAGTACCTGGAAGTGCAGACGTACAGATAGACAACAAGCCGCAACATAAAAGAGTCCAAAGTGCCTATAACTACTACAGTCACATAAAACCACCCAATGTGTTTCCTGGGCTATAAACCTCTCCCTTCACCTGAGCTTCGAAGAATGAAATGAGCACTTCAATAGACTCAATGGTAACTATAATCTATGACAGGGGTGGGCAAACTCCGGTCCTCCAGCTGTGGTGGAACTACGAATCCCATGAGGCATTGCAAGATTCAGCCGTCCAGTCCTGAATATTGGCCCTGCACTGTAATTAAAAATGTCAGCATGCGGACCCTGGCCAAAGTGTCTTAGAGACGAGGCTTCGGTGGACCGGTGACCAGTTGCACTAATGGAGGGAGCCTGCTGGAGTAAGATATGAGGTATTACGCCTTATTCTCCCTCCCCTAGACCGGGAGTAGGCAACCTTGGCACGGTGGGAAACTACAAATACCGTCATACCTCTGCCTTTGGAAATCATACCCGTGGTTGTTGGTCTTGCAATGCCTCATGGGATTTGTAGTTTTACCACAGCTGGAGTGCCGAGGTTGCCTACCCCTGGGCTAGACATTTTTTTTTGTGTGTTCCTGCCTCCAATGGGGCTTTAAAAGGAGAACTATGAGGTGAGTGCTTTTCACTCACCTCATAGTTCTAGCCGACCTGTGACAATGAGACTGTCACAGGTCGGCTCAGTAGATCGAGAGGTCAGCGAACACATACCGGCGTTTGCTCACCTCTCGATCCTGTCATGGCTCTCTGCTGTGACAGGGGGAGGGGCTGGATTCCCCTCTCCCCGCTCCGATCTGCCAGCGCTGACTGGCGGAACCGATGGGGGAGGGGGCGGGTAGAGCTGGCTCTGCCTCTAGATAGGCAGAGCCAGCTGTCACTCACGCAGCTGGGCGGATCCCAACGTCCAGGTCGGGATCCGCTCCGGCGTCTCAGTATACCGCGAGCTGTAGCTCGCGGTATACTGAGCTTAGGGTAACGGGAGGACGCTAGTTTGTGTCCTCCCGTTACCCTAAGGAGAACTATGGGGAAAAACACTGACCCCATAGTTCTCCTTTAAGGGAAGTATTTCTTTAATATCATTTCCTAGACAAAATGAACATTTACAGGGTTACTCACAAAAGGGTGAGGAGTTTGGAGAAGGCAGGAGAAGTGAACAATCTAGGCCAAAGTAGCTGATTTGGAATAATTCTCCAATTCAGTTCACTTTCCAGTTCAGCTATGTTGTCCTAGATTGCTCACTTCTGCCTTCTCCAAGTTCTTCACCCTTTTGTGAATAGCCCTGTATATCTTTATCGGTAGGGATGAGCTCCAGTTCAGCCTGAACCTGAGATAATCCAGACATGGAAGTTACATGGACCTCCCACTCAATCAACTGCAGGTCGCAGCATTCCCCGCTCCGCAGCTGACCATAAACAAAGGAGTGGGGTGTTTGTGCTGATGTCATTTACCTTATATGGCCACATTGCCATATTAGGTAACTTCTTTACCTATTGTAGCCATATAACAGGGGTGGGCAACTCTGGCCCTGCAGCTGTGCTTTACCTACAAATCCCATAATCCCACTGCCTTTGTTAGTCATGCTTGTGGCTTTGAGAATCTTGAAATGCCTCGTGGGAGTTTCCAGACATCTCAACTCTCCCGGATGTTCCAGGAGTCTCCCGCTATATGATAGCGGCTCCCGGACACCCGGGAGAGAAACAATTTCTCCCGGAAAGGTTTACTCTGCTTTACCTAGCAGAGTAAACCTTTCTCTGCTCTGTTTTTGTTTTGTTTTTCCTGACATCGAGGCCGCCGTCAGTCAGAAAAAAAAACAGCACAGGAATGAATAGCTAGATTGCTATCGGCAATTTCAATTTGCAATAGCCAATGGCAGACTTGCTATTGCACCCGCCCACTGCTGCTGTCAATCAGCAGAGGTGGACCTGAAGTTCTCCATCAGGTCCTCCTCTACTGACTGAAAGCAGCAGAGGGCAGGTGCAATAGGCAGCTTGCTATTGGCTATTGCAAATTGAAATTGCCAATAGCAATCTAGCTATTTTTTTTTGTTTTGTTTTTATTCTGATGGCAGCAGCTGCCAGTGC